GTTAATATGCCTCCTTTCCTGGTGAAGGCTTCATTTCTGGGTGATGGGGGTCACCCACGTGACCAGCCTGGATGCTTTCATCTAGGCTGCTCTGTGCTAAGCTGGCAACTGCTGCTCAGCAGACTGCCGGCCTCAGGCAGCAGGTAATGTTTTAGGCTAGGAGTGAAAAGTGCAGAGAGCAAAGGGAGGTTGGAAGCCAAGAGGTAAGCCTGCAGGACTAGATTTAAGAGTAATATATTCTCTTGGTTCATTTTGGAATTCTTCCCTAGTGTGAAGCTAAAGAACAGGAATATATTGTGATGTGTTATTAGGCCATCTGAAGAGCAGGACGAAGTGATGGCTGCTATCTTTGAGTGCCTCAAACTCTTATCAGGACCCCCTGAAGAAACTTTTGAGAGGTTGGTATGCACACAGAAGCTCTGTGGAGCCCCTAATGCTTGGATGGACATCTGTTTACTCCAGTTTCCATGGGAAGGTCACTTCAATACATCTAGCTCCTGTGTGGATTAAGGTTAGTGTGTATGAGTGGCTGGTTCTAGCAGGTAATAGCTAAGGCTGTGGTTGTCTGAAGACCACAGGCAGAAAGGATATGGAAAGCCTGAACTTTATCCCGCTCGTGAATCCATGTGTGAGCCAAAGACGAAGAACCATAGAGGAGGGGCACAGACTTGATGTCTTACTTGGATTGGGAAGAAAACAGGATGTTTCTGACTCAGACTGCGGCATTCTCTTATTCACAGCTGCTACTGTCACATATCACTTAGATTCACACAAGCATGTGCCCTGTGTCATTTTGCTTCATTTCACCAACACTGAAGGAACTTCCCAGTTCCCACTGCTTCGCCCCCCTGCCTTTAGGCCTAGCCTCTCTCCCATCTTTCCATCTATGACCCCCGACCGACCTTTACCCTGCTTGAATAATCTGAAGACAGCAAGTTCCCTTATATACAACTGTCCTATCATAATTATCCAAGCATTTCTCTATCTTCTGCCAACTTTCTTTTATTAATAGCAAAAACAGAGAAACACCCTAAAGGTAATAATTGGTTATGGGCTTTCCTTAAACCCGTTCATCTTGAAATGAGAGTCTTTTGGGAGAGAAATAAACTTAGCTGAAAAAGACTGTATGGAGGGGAAGTTTCTGAGTTAGGAATGAGGGGCAGCCTGGAGTGGGTTATAAGCACACTTGTCTCTTCAAGTTTAAGCCAAGCAATGTGGGGGTGGGTCATGGTTTCTTTCTTTTCTTAAAGACAAACTCCAGGGGCAGCCTGCATGCAATAATGGAAGCAAGTGCCTGCTCAGGCATGAAGACTGGGCCTGGGCACTGCCATGGTCCCTTGAGACCTTCTCATGACAAAGAAAGCCCATGTTTGTGTCCAGTTCCTTTTACAACCCAGCATCCCTTTCCAGTCTCCACTGAGTGTCTACTCTACCAGCCCAGATATCGTTCTGCTCAGACCAATTGGACAATGTTAGGAAAAGACACCTGACCTGGCTTGTAGCCCTAGGGATTGTCCTGCAGACTGTTGTAGATTGTCCCTTTGCTGCTTAGAGAAGGAAAAGGTCTCTCTCGTCACCGTCCTTATCTCTCTCATTGTAACCACGACCAGTGTTGTGTGCTACAGTTACTCACCTGAAACCTTTCCCATCAAACAAACGAATTATATGTTGGCATCTGATAAGGAAGGGAAACTTCTTGCTGGTCTCTGGACACATACTAATCTCTGAGACCAGTTTTCATGATTATTCGAGCAAACTCTCGAAGGGCCTTAGTAACTTAAGGCACCGGTATGTAGTCTCCCTGTACACGCAGTGTTTGGGAACTTCCAAGGAAAGTTAAAAGACTGAAGCTATAGAAGCAGATGAGAGGGGGATAGTTTGGGTATTTTCATAAAAAAGAAGGTCCAGCTGAGTCTCTTCAAGATCTGGAGTTTGTCCTAGAAGCTACTTCAAGAAGATTCAGCCTTGAACTGTGATCTTGTCATTTTATCTTTGCCGTCATTGTCATTTGAGTACTGTGCTTGTCCTTACATACAGAAGTCCATGTGACCCTGACCTTAGATGGTATTGGGTATTCAAGTAATGCTTGGGTTCTGGTCTCTCCACTAACCAGTTGTATAACTGTGGCACCCACTTCCCCTCCCTAAACCTCAGTTTGCTCATCTTTGCAGTGAAAGGGCAGGGTTAGTTCATCTCTAGAGTTTTTTTTCCATTTCTATTTTTATTTGACATCTCTGACTCTATGTTACTTCCTCTTCATCACCAGCCTCTGTTCACTTAAAAGTCTTGATGCTGACATAATTTTCAAACTCCACTGAGTTGGAATATGAGACACACCTGAATCTCTTCAGGATACAGGCTTCACTGGTCAGGATGAGAGAAAACCACAAAATATACCCTAGCTATAACTGATGTCCAGATTTAGAACTATCACCTATTAAACTGATACCTCCTTGGTGAAGATTAGAATAAGCACCTGTGGGTCGACTCAGCTGTGAGCCTGGTACATCAATGGCCTCTCAGATAGAATTCTGCCTACTTTTAGCCCCATGAGCCTCAAAAGTTCTTATGTGGTGATCAACCTGCATGCTCACATATTACCACATTGCTTTTTTAGGCTCTGGCCCTTTAAACTGAGTAGTAAGAAAGAAGACAGATTAGGTGAGGCTAGGGCTAGACTACACATAGCACTGATAAGACAAAGAGACTTTGTCATTATGCCTTAAAATAGTTTATTAAAAAAGAAGCACCATCTACCCATGATGTTGTTATGTCCTTAGCACACACACCATGTGGTTTAGGTAGCTTCAAGAGGTAATAATAACAAACCCTCACATTTTATAGAGCCTTAAATTTTATGTAGCACATTAAATGTACTTACTTTTTCAATTGGATTCTGATTCTAACCACTGCCCTTGTGTGTAATAATTATTTGTTTTAAATACGAAGGAAGTGAAGCTGAGTGAGTCAAAGATTTGTTCAAGGGCAGTTGATAAGTGGTCAAGTCAGATACTGAGCTTACACACCTGTCTAGTTGCTTTTTGTTTTTGTTGTTTTGTTTTTTGCCCCTATGCCAAAGTACATAAGATCTGGATGTAGGCACTGGCATCCGGATCTGAAAGTAACTCTGCCAGGGTTTGCAAGCAGTCTTATCAGGCCGTTCTCTTCACTCCAATGAAGACAAGTCTTTCACACAGGTCTGGTAACTAGCATTCTGGAGAGGTGTTAGAAGATCTTACATTCCTAGAACTAGACATTCCTCCTCCTTGGTTAAAGTGAGAGGATGATTCCTAGAGATTCAGTCACCTAGTTAAATGGATAGGTCATACTTGTGTACCACTAATTCAGAACTCACAATTTTAGGAATTCCTGTGCCAGGTATCCCAGGAAAGCCTTACCTAAGCTATCTCCCTAGCCCACACCTCTCAGGCTCCATTGCCCATGTGTTCATACAGCTCCCCTGCTTCTCCTCTTCCCTCATCTGGACAGTAATTCTTTCTCCAAACACAAATCTGAGAGGACCTTTCCACTACCTAATAATGGCTTAGTATGGCTGGAAAAAGACATCCCACTCTTGGCAGGAGAGGATAAATCCCCATTCCATGCTGTTCCTCAGACTCTGTGGAAGGTTTTTCCTTTGCCCACAGTATCTCTACCCTGGGAAATGCTAGTCATTTTCAAGATCCTGATCATGCACCACTTCTGAAGTGCTGTTTTCCCAGACGACCATTGCTCCATCCTTTGTATGGTTTTGCTGTTACTGTTATATGATGTACATTTTTCTGAACTGTGGTTTGTTTCTTAGCATCTCTTTGTCAGTCTGGGGGCTCTTTGACAGCAGAAACTACATCATCGCCTTAGATTCCACAGCCCTGGTACACTGTCCAACACACAGTAGGTATAGTAATGCTTAGCTAATGAATGTGCCCCCTCTATGATAAAACTGGTTCAGTAGCATGCTGACGGTTTATTATCTTCTTGGGTTTGACCCTGGAGCTTTCGATTCTTTTTCATTCTATTGGCAGAATGTTGACAGTGCACCAAACATTGTTTTATAATGGGTGTCTTTCCTAGAACTGTGTCATGGGTAAAGAAGGGGAGGCAGAATTTCAGAAGAAGGGAGGCACTGGGCCAAGGGATGACACATCAGACTAAGTGGTTGATAGAACTGAATTTTAGCTCAAAGATAGGAGAGACCCTTGCAAAACTACCTGCATATAAAAGTTTAACTAAAATAAAATACATAAAGACAAGACAAGACACAGCTGCATTTAATGTAGCAGTACCTTTGAGTTTCAGGGTTCTTTATGTGGTATTGGTAAACTTTGTACAAGGTTAAGAACAAGATACAACCGTGTAAATGTAAGACTTGTTCTTGGTCCCCAACAGCACTTCAGAATGAAGAATCCTTAAAATTAGCTGCAAGTTCTTATTCTCTTTCCAATAGTCGGTGTAGCACAATGGCTTTGGCAGGCAAGACTTGAATTGCTGAGTACCTATGCTTCCTCTTTGAGCAGCCTGGATAGAGCAGGCCCGAGGGTTCTCATGACCGGCTGGTGTTCTCTGTTACATTAGGGCAAGTGCTAGTCTCTCTGCCTTGAGTTCCCTCAGATAGGCAGGACTGGTATTCAAAACAACAGCTATCCAGCTAACATTCACTTAACTATTACCCAAATCATTCCTACAAAGCCCTTCAAAACATAGGGAAACGGGACCTAGTGAGTGTTCCAATCCACCTTTATGGGCGGGAAGAAGATCAAGGACCATTTAGAGAGTTGGGAAAGTTCAGGAAAAAAAATGTGTCACACAAATTCTCTGGAGACCCAGAGTAGTATACAGATCTCACTCCACCCCTTGGCTCCCGGCCACATTTTCAGTTTGGTGAGTCTCTTAGACCCATTGAAATTATAGTTTTCTTTAGAATGATTTTAGGAGCATCTCAAATACTGACTTTGCCCATTGAGACAGTGTCCCTCTGCTCCTTTTCAGGTGGCTCCTACCTGTAGCTGGTGTCAACTGGAGCTGAGAACTTCACCCCAAACTCCAGAGGAGCCCATGTGGCAGGCCAGGAGCAGACAGAAGTGGAGAGACCTCTAGGAGGAAAGTAACAAGAACGAAAGCAACTGTGCAATAGGCTTCTTAGAAATAACCCCTTTATCTCACTTCTCTCTGGGGCGGATTTCTGTCTACGGAAACTCCCCTTCCGCAGCAGGGGCAGCTCCCAAATGTATTTTGAAAACAACAGCACAAAGCGAAGAAGAAAGTTCTGAAACTCACCTTTGGGTCGGCTGGAAGGCTTCCTGCCGGCGGACCGCTGGATCTGTTCCGGTGCTGTCTGAAGTGACTTGGGCACAAGAGTGAGGTCTGGGTCCCTCCTCCAGCACCTCCCTCCCACCACCAGGTCCCGGGAGAGAGGCGGCGCTGCGGGTCAGTGGGTGCCACCCGTGTGTCCTGGAGGAAAGCGCCCCCTGCGTCACTGACTGAGGTTTCAGGGCACCCAGCTCTGCTCCTGAGATCAGGAACTCGACTTCCTGAATCGGACTGGCTGGCTCCGTCGCTCCCCAGCCCAACTCTTACCTTAAACTTGGACTCACACGCCACAGTCGCAGCACGGGTGTCCTTCCTCTGGGTCTCCCGGCCAGTGTCCCCACTCCGCCCTGCTGTGACGTTCTTTTGCCCCTCCGCCCCGAGCACGCCTCCTTCAGGACGCCAGAGCCAGCTTTGCTCACAGATGTACCAGTGTTCCCTGAGACAAGGGGTGTAAACTCCCAACCCTGGCCTAAGGAAAAAATAACAGCCCTGTGGAATAAAGGGACCTTCCAGGAAAACGGAGGGGGTGTCTTAAGGGAGAGCAAGCCGCGAGCAAGCTGCTGTGCCGAAGCCTCATTCTCACAAGGTATCTTTGTGTATGCTCCATGGGAGTTACCTGGAGTTGTTAGGAGCACAGGAGACAGGGACAACTAACTTCAAAAAACGTTTTCAAAACGAGTACTCCCTTTTCATTTTATTTATTCCTCGTCTGTGCTTATATTCAAATTTCTTGTATCTAACTCCGCTCAGTGCCTCCAAGGCTTCTGGAGGGAAATTGGGAAGGCATGAGGGCAGAAGCTGCAGTGGAGTATCTAGGGGTTTCCCCAGAATCACCTTGGGAGATCTTGGCACGATAAGGACCTGAGATTCTACCCATTGGATTGAAGGTGTCAGGTGCGGATCTGGAGTTGCTTTCCAGTGGCTGTGCCTGAACCACAGGGTCCTTTGGCCTTTAGGTGCCTGAATTAAAATGACTGGTGTAACCAACTGTCACAACTGAGAAACAAGAGTGCTCCCATTTACTTAAGAGAAGCCAGCTGGCTCTGGATTGAAGGGCCAAAGAGAAAAGCCAGCACTCATCAGAAATGCCAAGAAGAGTTAGGTGGCCCTGTGTTCTTCTTTCAAAGGCAGATTAATTAGAGATTTCACCCAGAAATCCCACAGAAAGAACTTGATCTAGAACCTGTTGTTCCTTTGAAACCAAGTCTGACTATATAGCCCTGGCAGGCCTGGAACTCACAAGGTAGAAACAGGTTGATCTCGCAGACCTGTGAGGCTATGCCTCTTGCCTGCTGGGATTAAAGGCATGTGTCATTATGCATAGGTCTAGATTTGAATGATAAGAAGAAGACTGGTCCAGAAGATCTGCAATCAGGTGGGGAGATACTACGGTTAAGTGGGTGGGTGGGAAGGTCAGGCTCTGAAAGCAGACAGTTTTATCAAGAGACAGCTATGCGTGGATTCCACCAACAATTTAGCATTAGATGGAAGGCTTCCCTGGTGTGTGAAATCTGAAGCAGGGGTCTAGGGTCTAACGGAGCAGAGAGCTAGAGGAAGACAGGCTTGGGGAATGCCAGGAAACCTTAAGTGCAAACCCAGAGACTGGAGACTGAGTATCTGGGACCTACAGCTTTAAACGTTATATTGTCCTGTCTGACACTTGACCTGTGTAAGATGTAATTTGACACCCCCCACCCCCCTTGAGGATGGTAAGTAACTTTCTTCTGTAAAGTCACAGTGGAGCTGAGATCTGAGTCTGAATAGTTCTAGTCCAGTCTTTCCCTCATTACCATTTATTTCATCAGGAGAGAATGGCTTCTGTGGACAACTTCTGCTCTTGACTGACCTGATGTGCAAGTCTGGGTTAACACCTGCTGAGCAGATGGAAGACAGTGGAAAATACTTTCCTGAACAACTTTATTGATGGGTTCAGGCTGAGGCGACAGGACAGTCACATTGCTTTTCAGAAACACCACCACTACTACCACCACAGAGAAATGAAGAACCTAAGGCAGCCATCGTGAGCTCAGCTCTTCAAGAGTGTGACTATTACTTATGGGAGAAAAACCAGATGCTTATCTGTAGGGCAGCAACTCAAATGATGTCTTAGTTCACAAGAAGTCAGATCCAGTAAAAGTCTAGAACCTACTGAGCACCAGTGGCTTTGTGGCAGACAAATCGGGGACCTACCAGATGGCAGAATGGTAGGTTTGCTGAATTGCCAAGGCTATGGGGTCTATTGAGGTTCTGACACAATGAAGAAGGAATCATCTAAGGTACGAACAAAGGAGTGCGCATCTGGCCAGCAGGTTTTCCTTCTGGGTGGATGACGCATCCCTTATGAAAAAGCAAGTCAGAGCACCCACCCACTGTTTCTCCCCTTTGGCAGTGAAATCTCAACTCCTAGGAACTCATGAACGGCCCCAGGCAACCACGGTGCTGTTGCCGGTTTTTAAAATCCTCATTAAGTTTTCTTGTTTGGGGTAAGGATCTTTGAAGGCAGTCAAGTGGTGAGTGGACTCTAAGTGGAGTGAAAGGGAGCATTAACACATCTAATTAAGAAACAGAAAGCCCCCAGAGAGCAGATTTGTGAGCCAAGACTAAAAATTTAAAGCCCTTTTGTGGGTGACCACACCTTGCTAGCTTTAGCACCTGATGGATGAGCTCTGGTTCCATATTATAGTGTTTTGAACAAAACCTGTGGGTTTCCTCCCTGGTGTTGTGGGAACTCACAGAATATTAAACATCACGTTTCAGCCTGCGTTGAAGGTAAAGACTAACTACACTTGCTCTCTTGGTAATGTCCTGTTTCTGACAGGTCAATGGCGGTGTTTTAGCACAGATTCATCTGTGGGAGATAGTTTCCATCAGGTCACACTTTCTGAATGCAGAAATCAGAACAGTATTGTGCAGCAACAACAAAAGGGGGTGCCTTTATCAGTGTGGGGAGTATTTAATAGAGAATATTACATTATTATCATCTAAAACAGGTGCATTCTTGCCTGCAATGATCTGTGAGGCTCAGGCATGTCCAGCCTCTTACCACCGAGACAATAACGCAATCTACAACATTCACAAAGAGACAGAAATAAAACACCCACACCTCGCAGTGTTTTAGGCAGTTTATGATTTTGTGCTGGTCTGTGTGTAGAGGTACCCTTGGCCACATGTGGTTCTGGGACAGTTCCTGAGTCGGACAGGCTTGGGAGAGACAAAAGCAGGGCTAGCAGAAGGCAGAAGGGCTGGGTGGCCAGACGAAGGCTGTTAGCGGAACTGGTGAAACCGTAAGATGAGCACAGACTTGTTCCTCAGATCCTGAAATGCAGCAGCCTCTGAAAAAGGCAAGTTCAGGACAAGTTGGTGGAAATACTACTTCACACAGTGGGTAATGAATTTGTGGAATGGATTATCTCCCAGAGGTGGCCGGAGCCAGCAATGTAAGTAGATTTTGGAAAGCTTTGGACAGACATGTGAATGGCAGAACCGTAAGTGAGGGATGAGAAAAGCTAGGAAGTGCACCAAGTGCTTGGGAGTTCAAGGTGGAGCCACAGTGTGGACCTCTGGTCTTTGTAGCCAAAGGAATCCTGCCTCCCAAGTGCTTACATTTGAGTCCAACATTCCCTCCCCGTCTTACAGTCTCTATAGCCTCTGCTTCTTATAGGCAACAAGACTGTTCTTTTTACCTAAGTCTTATTCATTTAAAACATGTTGTTCTTTCATCTTGGCTATCAGCTTCTGAAAAGATTCTTTATTATATGTATGTCTGGCAATTATATTTCTATCAGACTTTCCTTCTAAATTATCAAATTTGGACACAAATGACTGGAATTTTGAAACCTTCTCTGAAGGAACACACTAAGGATATACTTTTCTCAGGAATAGTTCCTAGTGTGTCACCCAGTGTGTCCTCACCGCTACATGTGGAGGATTCTGGGCTAAAATGTTTTACCACCACTGTGCCAAATCGTGGCATTGGCGGTGGTGGGGAAGTTAAGGAAACTCTTGGTACACTCGCCTAATTAACTTATTGTCCCCTCACCCGATGACCTCACCCAATGATCTCCCCACTGTCCCCGACCCCTGTGCTCCAGGTACTTCATGCCTTCTTTAGTGTTCATATATTGTAGAAAACAGCATTCTGCCCAACCTCCTGAAGAATAAGGGTGACTCCGAGGGAATGGTTTTTGTATTTCTGGGCACTAAAGGGCTCAGTTTTCATTCCCAGTGTCTGGTTCATAGTAGCCCAATGGTGTTTTCACTGCGAGACAGGCAGCCTTTGTGAGCAAACTGCCCTGCTGCCTGGAGCCCTTTGCCTGATTCAGCGTAGGCTTTGTTAACGTAAACAGCAGGTTTCTGGATTCCATTCTCATGTCAGGCGCATCAGAGCAGGAGAGTTCACAGAGTTCTCATGTTGTCCCTTTTCCTGGTTTCCTTTGTCACCTGCTCTTCTTGTGGGGATGGGTTTAATTATTGATTTATTGAGTGAGCCCACAGTGTGCAGTCCCAAAGCCTACGAGTAGAACATTTCTTGTCACTTTAGTGGAGAGATCCCTGGGAAACCCCAGCTTACTCTGCCCAGCTCATTCATTGTAGCTGAAGGTTTCAACCTGAGACTGAAGCTGTTCAAGCCTCTTGCCCTGAGGGCCCACGAAAAAAAACGTGGCTTTGAAATTTGCTTCCTTGACTACTTTAGTGACTCAGAACATCAATGTTGCCACAAACAAACTTCCTGTCCCCAGGCTAGCTCTTTCATAACAGGTAAAAAGAAGGGCTTGGAAAAAAAGAAAAGAGGAGAGAGCCCTCGTTTACCAGATTGTAGGAGTGAGTTTTAACTGCTGGTAATATATTGCTTTCTTTGTGCCAAGGTCTGTACTATGCATCAGTAGAAGACTGTTTATAATGAAAGGTTACACTCTGTAATTTGGATTTAAGGGCAATAAGGCTGGAACACTCATAGAAATTTTCTTAATAAAGGTGGGTTGACCAAAATATAGAGCTACAAAAGAATCAGAAAATGCATCGAGTGAGAGGCCTCTGGCTGGGTAGAACGTGAACAAAGGTGGTATTAAGATGGTTCAAACATGGCATGACTTCCCCCAACCCCCACCGAAAGATTTAAAATCAGGAAGGGAAAGCATTAGCTATAACGTTGCTACCCCAAAACAAGTACTGTAGCATTTTGGTATAGGTTATTCTAGTCCCCTTAGAGATTAGAATTAGAATTTCTATGTAGATAATTGATATCAGTCCAGATTTTTGATAAGAAACTTACTACTCTTAAAAAGTGACAAGGGTGTGAGTGTGTAAATCTAGTGACTTTTTGTAGCATTTATTTGAATGAAGAGAGACTGAATTCAGAAACTTCAGTGGGCGAAAAGGACATCATATATTCTAGCTTCTGGCTTTATTTAGCTATAATTTATTTATTTAGTGTGTGTATGTGTGTGTAGTGTGTGTTTGTATATAGCATGGCATGCCATAGTCTGAGTATAGAGGTCAAAGGACATCTGTGACAACCAGTTCTCTCTTTACCATGTGGTCCTGGGGCCACCAGTCACCTATGTCACCAGTGCTAATTTCTGCCTTTAAGACCAAGTAATGAATGCTAATAAGTTCCTTGATCAGTGAGGAATTCCCACACCTGAAGCACTTCATGCAGAAGCTGAATGAGCCCCTGGGGGTGCTGTAGGGGAACTGCTATATTTCAAGGGAGGATTCCTTGTGACTACTTCCAACCCCCAAATTCTAGGATTTATATTATTAGTTGTGGAAGTTCACATTTACATAAATTATGATGCCTCTTCTCTTAAGATTTTACAGCAGTTGACTTATTTCATATGTATGATTAAGGAATGTGGTAAATGTTACTGGATAGTAGACATCAACTAACTTTGAAACACCAAGGCTAAGTCCCCCTGTTCCTTCCCTCCTCTCTCCTTTCCCTTCTCCCTTCCTTTTTTTTTTTTTTGTTTTTTGTTTGTTTGGTTTGTTTTTGTTTTTGAGACAGTGTTTCACTCTGAAGCTCAGGCTGACCTTGGACTTGTGTTTATCCTCCTACCTCAGTGTTAGTATTCTGTCTAAACTCTACCTCCACAGTCACCTGGCAATAGCCAGGTATGCTCCTTCCCACAGTTACCTGGCAACGGGCAGGTAGGCCTGCCCACTATAAAGGGGGCTGCTTGCCCCCTCCTCTCTCTCTTGTTCCCCTCAACTCCTGAGCCTGCAGGTTGCCCTCTCCCCTCCCCCTTCCCTTCCCCCACTCTCCATATGGTC